CTCTCTCTCGCTCGCTCGCTCGCTCGCTCGCTTCCTCTCTTCCTCCTTCCGCCTCTTCCTTTTCCGTCTCGTCGATCCATCTTCCTTTCTCCCATCTCGCGCGGTCATCGTTTTCCTCTTTCTCGAATTTCCACTCTTAAATTTCCTCCCCTCTGCCGGTTCTCCATTCTCTCCCTTCCCCTTTCTCCCTCGCTCGCTACCCTTTCTCCGCGCGCCGATTCCAAAAGTCTGTAAACTGAACGGACGCGTAATGAATGCGTTCCACCCTCCCAAAGTAATCAGCGGCGAGATGGAAAGGGAAAGAGAGGAGCAGAGCGAGGTGGGCTCGCAGAGTGCTGAGGGAAGAGGGAGGGGAGATCGAAAAGGGAGGATAGAAGTGTCCTCTCTGTCGGCGGAGATACGCGGTTTGCGAAGGTGGAGGAGATGGAGCGGCGCGTGGTCGTTGAACCCTTCGCCGACTGGGAACACCCTAGGATGGGAATGGGAACGTGCGGGATCGGCAATATCCTGGTCCGGGCACGCTACGGAGACACATTTCTCTCCCGCTTTGTCACCGTTCATGTCCACAGGATAAAGAGGCCCAAAGGTCCTTCTCGGACGAGCGCGGGGAAGCATTGAACGAATCCGTTCAACGCTGATCGCTGCAAGATCGTACGATCGAGTACGCGATAAATGTATATCGGACATGTGTAGACGATGACCATGGAGTCGTCTGAGATCGAATCAAGGAGGAATCAAGTTCCCTTCGGGAACTACACGCAGCGAAAAAAATGTCATGATGCGCTCTTTCGAGATTTCCGTACGAATCAAAATCAAAAAGGCTAAAATAAAATTTTATTCTCGCTTTGCGTCAAATGTCGATAACTTATCCGAAGACATGTCAAGAATATTTCTTCTGCTTCGCTCTATGAATTATTTTTGTGGCAAGACACAAAGCGTGCACTTTAATTTGTACGGAGTACGGAGATGCGCCAGCGGACGAGCGTCCCAAGATTTTGGATCAAGATTTTCGGGACAATAAATCAAAGATGCGTCCTTCGGTCGGCGCGTCGCGAGTAATCTCTTAACACTTAATTATGTCGCGCTTTGATCTATTAGCCGCGCGGAAACGGTACATTCAGAGCTCCACATAAACGGGGCAGCAAGATTTATTCGGCGAAAGACGGCAGCGGGCGCAATCACTTTGCTAATGAAGGAGCTTTTGCCGGCGGAGATGGAGCAGGGGGGTAATTTCGGGAGCGACGGCGGGGACGACGGCGAGACGTTAATGCGAACGATACGACGTGTGTCAGATATCGTACCGCGAATTCATCGTTCACATCCACGTCCTGACATGGCCATGGCCGTGTATGTATGCGCGCGGCAGAATCGGTTATACATAATGCAAGGTGCAGCTACCTCACTCGCGGCAAAAATCCATGCGAAATGTGAACGAACGAACATCGTACGAAAGTGCGAGTCCATTAAATCCCGATCCTTTAGACCCTCCCGAGATTGACTTTTACACAGGCCAGCCTTGAATTCCACGAATCAGCCCCGTCTCTTGATATCTTCTCGCGCGATGACTTGTGTCACTTCACCTTCAGAATCCTCGTACGAGAGATAATTTTCGCGTCATGAAGGTGAAATGACGAGAATCATCGGACGAGATGCTCGTTACAAATTCTATCGTTTGATTCATTCTTGGATAGAAACTCAAATCGTTTCGCTGACGAAAACTCGAACGAAAACTCGACGGAAACTCGACGAAAACTCGAACTCGATTTTCAGTTGATTGTTGGCTCCGGCCAGGAGGAAAGAGAGACAAATCAATGCTCCCAGAGCGAGAGAACCGCTTTGCACTCCGACCGTAGATTTCACTCGCGCCGGCTCTGATAAGAACGCCCATCGATCGCGACATCGGCGTTTAAATGCGCGCGTTATCGATCTCTGACTCGGGTTGCGGTAGATCTGGATCTGACATTTAAGTCGCCCTCTGAAAAACGGGTTTTTAACCGGTCCGTCGAATAATTCCATTGACGTGGACGGACGGACGGACGGATGGACGAGTGGCGCGCAACGGGCGATTTCGTCGATTTACCGGCGAACAGGCAGTGGGAGGAGGGGAGGAGGGGGAGGCACACGACACGAAACACCTCGGGGTGCCTTCTCTCTCCTCCTCTCCCCCGTCTGTCTATACATTTTTCTTTGATGCCTCGTCGCAGAATACTTGGGACAAACGAGCCGGAACGGACGTTCAACCGGAACAGACGTAGGCCAGTGCCGAGTCTGCTCTTGTCGGGCCCATCGTCACTTGTCCGCTTTAAGTGTATAATAGGATTTCGTTATCCAATTATGCTTTAGAAATTTCACTTGTGAAGAGTTCGCTAGTCCCGACCGATTATATTTCAAAAACTCGCCGCAAATATTTTATTATATGAGAATTGCCACACATATATACTTATATATACATATGTACTTATAAAAAGATGCAATTTTCTTAAAATAGAATAATTGAATATTTTGAAAGTTTTCTTTTTACAAAGATTATTAATCGATGCATGAATTTTTATTGACACTGATGTCGCCCCAATAAATAAATTAATTTACTTCTTTTTACAATAAAAATGTATTCATGTAATATGTGAAATTTTAATCGATATCGTTAAATTAATTAAGATATTATAGGGAATATATAGTTCTGGTTTTAGCTGGATACATCGACAAATCTGTTAGTAACGGCACGTTGTTAATGACAAAAATAAATAAATATAAATTCAAATAATTATTATAAACACCAAGCTTTAGCTATAATCGTAAAAATTCTAACCGTTCTTATATATTTCTCCTGTGAGATATACTTTGTCGGTCATAACATAACTGTTTAATTTGATTTGGTAAGAAGCGCGAATTCGTTAACATTTAACGAATAAGAATTTGCTAATTTGGTGCGCAGGTTACCTGCTGACGAGGGTCGAGAAGAAGATCGGTTCGCCAGAGAAGCCGTTGTCGGACCTCGGTCTGATCTCCTACCGCAGCTACTGGAAGGACGTTTTGCTGCAGTACCTCTGCAATTTCGGCGGCAAGGAAATCTCCGTAAAAGGTAGGTCAGCGCGAAGCCTCGCGTCCGCAGCCGTCAACCATCAGTCCGTTTTGACTTCCGGCAGCTTTACGGTGAAGCGGCACTTAAATATTCATGCGCGGATTGAAAGTGCGCTAATGCGACTCACGGGAGATCTCGCTTTGAATCCGCCGATTCAACACCTACTTTCGAAAGTGTAATTTTCCCGCGGAGGAAAATTTACATACGTCACGTAATTCGGCGAAGATTTCTAGAAATTTCATGAAAATGTTTTAATCCTGCCGCCGGGAGATCCTTCTTCTTCTCAGACTCGTTACTTCTCGCTGCTTCATCAGAATCGAGAGTCTATTCTGTTTCAATTTATTTACGAGCTACACAGAGTGATGATCATGATTTTTTATGATTTTTTTTTAACATAAATGTGGATGTAACTCGAAAACGACTAATTTTCGGATCTATATAGCTTTTATATAGCTTTTTTTTCCTTCTTTTTGGATCTCAAATCACAAGAGGTAATGCGAGCGAATATCCAGACACCCTGTTCAGATATACATTACGCATAACAGAATCCATTTTCGATGAATATTATCGCTTTTAGTTTAGATTTTGTTGCCTCGAGACGAGGGAATCGTCAGCAGGGCATTTACACCGCATTGTTATTGATCCGATGGTCAAGTTTTCCCAACGTAACTGGTTTTAGCGGTTGAATAATTGTATTCACGGGGGCAGGATAAATCGCCCTCCCATTGAAAACCACAGCAGATTATATATGATTCATCATTTCCGCATTTTTGCGACTGCTACCGTCGGACTCTTCATTTATTATCATTTATACTTTAAAATCGCGTTAAGTGGATCCAGTATCGATCGAATTGACGCAAAACGAATGTAAAAAAAAATATATATATATATATATATATATATATATATATATAGAGAGAGAGAGAGAGAGAGAGAGAGAGAGAGACTTGGAGAATCTGAAGATGGGACTCTCGTGTGACTAATCAGAAAGACAATAAAAGAAGAAACGCAAGTGTCAGGTTTTTTTACAGGTTAACAGTACTACTCTTCATACATAAAATATCTCCATACATAAATGTAAATAGTAATAAATTCACGATGTTTTATTCATCGTGTATCTTCCTCCTAGCCCTGCGTCAATTTTATTATCTTGCCGTTTGGTACCGAGAGAGAAACAAATTTCTTCTATGAGATTGGATCATTATGTGTTTCTTCGAGACTTTTCCATCGACGACAGTTGTCACTTTTGGTGGGAGAGAGACCATTGTCGAGCACGCGCGAAAGAAAAAAGGAGAAAAGCACAAGCTTGGTAATTCTTCTTTCAGATATCAGCAAGGAAATGGCCATCGACTCGTACGACATTGTCAGCACTTTACAGGCCCTCGGCATGATGAAGTACTGGAAGGGCAAGCATATCATCCTGAAGAAACAGGTAAGCGCTTCTTTGTATTGTAATCTATCCTTATATATACGTATATACGTGCGTGTATGTGTGTTGTGTATTTGTGTTATGTGACTCCCCTTTATTTCGCGAAAGATATCGTCCGTTTCTTCATACGAATATGTTTGTCAGATTTATCGTGGCCAATTTCAGGAATCGTTGATAAAGACTAAAAACTTGTTGAAGATTACCTCGTGTGAAATATCATAATTTTTATTGATATAATCCCAATAATACATATTTATCGTACGAAAAATCATACGAAAATGATATAAAAGAATTGAGTAATGCATTATAGATATTCGAATAATGAAGCAATACAAGAGCCATCTGTCGTAATGAAAATCCAATGCGATATAGTCTTATAAATAATCAATATCGCGGGAGTATTCTTATCCTAATGTGTGTTTTTTTCCTCACTTCAAATCAAATAGCGCAGGTAGATAATAGAGGAATAATGATTGCTCGATATAACGCCTCTCGTTGTGCAAACAGTATGAATATCGGAAATATCAGACGTATCTTATTAACGTGATTATGACGCAACAAGGACGATCCGATTTCACTCGATCGTTCGTCATTCGCCCCGGGAAACGATATATCCCGGACGATATACGATCGGACAGCACGACCGCGAAGCTAATTATTCGGTTAATTCGACCATGTACTCACCCTTTGGCGCTTCGCGCCCATTGTACGTCCCCTCGACCCTTCCCGTCCTCGTCAATAGAAAATATTCGCGAGCCGTCGCGTCGCTCGGAGCCGTGAGTTAAAAAAAAAAAGAAAAAAAAAGAGAGATCGTTGAAATAATTTCAGGACGTGATCGACGACTACAAGGAGAGGGTGAAGAGACGCGGCCCCGTCTACAAAGAGATCGATCCGGAGTGTCTAAAATGGAACCCCTTCCAGCCACCCAAGACGCCCTCCGCCTCGAACTAAGGTCTACCAGGAGCCTGAAAGTACGCTACCCCTTCTCCACCCCTTCTCGTCTTCTCCCCTCTTCATAGCGCGACTCGAGAGACGACGGTCGATTCTCGCCGTCGTCATCGTCGTCATCGTCGTCACCATCGTCATCGTCGCTTTATTAGGGATGTTGCCGGATTCAGCGACTATTCGGTATCCAGCCAATCCAGCCATATTTTTTTATAACCCGTCGGATTACGAAAAAGTCATTTTCCATAATTCAATAGATAATTATATATAAAATTTGAATTTTTTTGAAATGCAATGAATATTAAAGTTAATAACTTTTATCATGTAAGATACATTCATAAAAATACTTAGTTAAGTTAGGATGTCTAATGAAATAGATAGATCGTCGAGATATTTCACGATGTCCGACGAATCTGCCTAAATATTTTTATCAATATTTGATTGTTGATAACATATACATTTACATATATGATATGTGTGTGCACATATATTTGACTTTTTCAATTTTTTTTATGTAATTGCCGAATAACCGAATATCCGATTATCCAGCAAATTCTATCCGGCACATCCCAATCTTTATCCGTTTCCGACCTTCCCACCAAGCACTCACGCAGTGCGAGAAATAAGCCGACAGATTTCACACCAGTGAGAACCATGAAAATCCTTCCAAGTATTCCTCCGTCGTTCCGAAGCACACAGTGAAGACGACGGTGAGTATCTCATTCTATTGGCAATATCGTTAAGCCTCACCGCGAGAAGGACTTCTCTCTTCATGTTTAAGATGCGTCGGTCGGAGGTCGACAGGATCCGATAATAATTGCGACTGGAAAGTGCATGAGAAATGTCTCTCCGATGCTGACGAAAGCAGGCAAGCCGATAAGACATGGCGACTGATGAGATGTCGAGGATATATTTATACTCGCATTATCATTTCGCACTTGCCTGTTTTATTTTTAAACCGGATCTTCTTTTAATATATTTCCCACTTTAGTATCTTTTATTAGAAAAATGTGAACTTTTCTTTATAATTATTTATATCCGCCCGACAGTCAAGATATAAATTATGTACAGAAAAGATATTATCGAACGAATGAATGGAACAAGTTCTCGACTACGTAAATATGAATACGGAATGTAAATACACAATTAGCTGAGTTAGCATTTCAGGTTGCGTCTAAGATTTAAAATATTTATTTCGATAATTAGACGCCGCTCTTTGCCGCGACGCGACGGCGGCAGCGACGAGAAAACGTCAATTGTGCAAAGGCGAATTTTCGCATAAGCGAATATAGAAGATATTTGTACAGAGGAGATATCACCGAACTCGACGCGACGACAAAGCCGCTCCTCTGCGCTGCGTCGATGCTGCGCCGAGTTCGTTGGTGCATCGACCTTGGCATCTCTCATTGGTGCAACCTCGTTGGTGCAGTAAGTTGCATAACGGCGGGGCCCCGTTAACGCGCCGGCGGCGCATCGATCAGATTGCGTCGAATGCGCGAGCAGTGGACCACCCGATGAAAATTCCTCAAATCTCTCCGGTTTCGAATATCGCGATATAACGCACGATGAGAATCATCGGCAGAAATATCTGGTCTCGAAAAAAAATAAAAAAAAAGAAGAAAAATACATGCGCACGTATTTTTATAAAAGTCGATCGATTCTATTTTGAAATAACCGACGAAATCGCTCGATGCCAAATTTTAACTTTTTTTCCAATGATTTAGTATTATTGCGTATCTGTGTGCTCGCGTTAGTCTTTAATTGGCGTTAGCCTTAATTAATCTCTTGCTGATTGTACAGCATCAAGATTTCACTCATTCTATCTGCAATTGTTAATAATTAAATCTGCAATTTGTTAATAGTTTACGTCAGATGTTAAAGTAACGGAAACGAGAGAAGGAGAAAGATAGTATTTTTCGTTTATTATTCGTGCGCTGCGGAATAATTTTACCGTTAAAATACCTTCGACTATACTGCATCACGGCCGCAAAACGTAGACACGAAAGATACGTTATTGATCGGTCTACCAAGGTGCACGCGTAGCTGCAGAATAGAGAGAACGAGAGAGAGAGAGAGAGAGAGAGAGAGAGAGAGAGAGAGAGAGAGAGAGAGAGAGAGAGAGAGAGAGAGAGAGAGAGAGACGACGACGACGACGACG